CCCAGCATTTGGGGACAAAGGGCTCAGTGCTGAGATTGCTTGGAAATAGCTGCTGCTGTTTGTAAACGAAACCTTGTTTTAATCCAGATTAATTTGTACACCCAAACAAGCCATAGGAATTTTTTTTTCTTACCTTATAACTTGGCTTTTACTGGACATGGTTGGGCAATGTCCTGACAAATCACTCGTGTGTGGGCACTCCTCCGCAGCCTGCAAGGGCGTCATGTTTATACCGTAATCTGTGACATGTCACACACGTGTTGCAACTCCTCTGAGTTTCAGTGCTAATGGAAACACCAGTATTAACTGTGGGAAGTTAGTCATGCAAACTAAACTGGACGGGGAAGCTCTCGGAAGCCGCTGTTTCGTAACTGCGTTTTGCAAGCGCTTTGCTCCATGGTGCAGGGCAGTGCTGGGATCCTCCTGTGCGCTGGGCTCCCCTTTCCCAGTGCCAGAAAGGGCTTTGGAAGGAGCTCCAGGTAGAAGCAGTGCTGTGGCTGATGCTCAGGCACCTTGGAGAGGGAGCTGGGTGCTGCTGTAGGACAGGGGACACCCTCAGTCCCTCACCTTATCAGGCCATCGAGTCCTGGTGCCTTCACTCAGGGAGCAAGGGGCTGTGGATTTTCTTGCTGAGAAGAGGTTTTCTAGGTGTCAGCAGAAGAGCAGGTGAAGCTGAGGGGTTTATCTGCACAGCTTCCTTAGAGAAGGAAAGAAATGCAGCTGCACAGAATAAATCTGGAAACCAGGATGTTTGAAAGTGAAAATTTTAAAAAGTAGTAAGAGTTTTTGGTGTTGTTTCTAAATCCAGGAAAAGCCCAGAAAACAATCAGATTTTCAGATGACTTTTAGACATATTTTTCAGATTCCTTTTAGAGACTGACATGAAAGAGAACTTGCAGAACCTGCATCTGAAAGCAGCTGCTCTTGGGGAGCTTTATTCTGTCTTTGAGGAGACCCCTCATTTTCCAGGCCAATGTAGCCAGTGCTGTCCTGTTCATGGACCATTGTGGTCCCATCTGAAAGCAGCTCCTCCAGACAGGGTCATTTCCAGATTAAGGAGGCCAGAAAAACCATTTTCTCCATGCTGGAGCACTGAAGGAACACATGCTGTCCATGCAGAGCAGCGTTCCCTGGGGATGAGCTCTGTGCCTGTTCACTGGAGGTGTTGCAGTCTGTGATGTGAAAAAGAAACCATTCATAAATGGAGAGATTTCATAGAGTCTGTCACCCTGCCATACCCATTTGGACTATTTCCAGGCATTTACATTAATTAAAAGTGAGACAAGATTTCTGTGATGATGTTGTGCTGGTCAGAATGGATAACTTCCCCAAAACTGCTATTTTTAGGGTATTCCTAGAGGTATGGGGCAGACTTTAAGAGAAATAGGATGTACAGATATATAGAGAAATTATGATGACTATTATATACCCCCAACCTTATCACTTCAATAGCTTTTTAAAAGTTATTTTTCATGGAGAATTTCAGAAATTTCTCCTGCATGTATTGTGCTCTTTGTAGTTCACTTGTTACAGATGACATTTTGGGGTCTCTTTCTGCACACATTGGCCAATTTTTCTAAAAGAGGTATGGGGGAAAAAAAAGATATTTTTGCTTTGAAATGTTAAATTAGTCTATTGTTGCCATGATGCTACTGTAATTTATTTTATTTATATTCCAGTTCGGTGCATTTAATAAATATTTTTAAAAAATCATGTTGGAAAAAGATAAATGATGCATGTTGAAATATGGGGAGATTTCAGGCTAACGTGGCACGTGGCTGGAGTTTCGTGAAGAGCCTGAAAACACCACCACCTTACGTCATGTTACATTCATTCTGTAAATCCCCACAGGCACATGTTTTGCTGGCTCAAGCAGAAGAGAGATGCTGTCTGTGCTGGCCCTGCTCTCTGGCCTGGCTGGGATCTCACCCTGCTGGGCTCTCTGCAGGGCTGCTTTGCTGCTGGCTGCCCTCACCAGGCACAGGGGGATGGCTGCTCCTGGCAGCTCGGGGTGGCTGCACTGGTGGAGCTTTGTGGGATGCTGTCCTTGCCATGGCTGAGTGTGGAGTGGCTGGGCTGGAGGGATGGGGAAAACCTAATGGAAGTGAGCTGGGAGATGTAGGGGGCTTCTGAGAGATGTAGGAAAGTGGGTTTGTTCAGCTAGTGACAAAAGAGAGGAAGGAATCTGTGGGTGCTGAGGAAGGGCTGGTAGGCAGCCATCCGAGTCCCAGGGTGATTCTTGATCTACAGGGAAACATCTGGAAAACATCTCTGAAGACTGCTGGTAACTGCCTTAGGAAGGCAAAGCATTTGTGAGGAGGCGGCTGGGAGGGCTGGGGCGTGGGGTTTGTTTTGTTTTGAGTTTTTGCTGTAGGCTTCCTGTGTCAACACTGCCCGAGAGCCTCCAGCTGCGTCTGCGAGTGGGGAGAGCATCTCTGCTCCTGCAGGAGGGCTGCCAAGGGAAATGAGCTAATCCCTGCACGAACAACATCAAGAAGTGGCCACACCAGCACAAACTGAAATAGCTGAGCTGCACCTTTGTCGTTGTAAAGGTCCAGATGGGCTCATCTTCTGCTGAGGGTCGTGGGAGGCAGGAGCCGCTGACGTCCTGCCCTACGCGCACGGTAAAACCTGCTCCTTCAGGCTCCCATCCTCCTCGCTGAGCCCGAGTTTTCCAATTGTCAGAGGAGCCCAGGATGCAGAGGGATGAGTCAGTGCACCCTCCTGTACAGAGATGCCACATGCTGCCCATACAGACTGAGCTGCAGCCCGGGCACAGGCTTCCCCTGCCTCTGGGCTGCATCCCCCTGGCCGGCTTGCTGGGGGTCAGTGAGAGTGCAGCTGCTGCTGGTGCTCCAGCTGTGTGTGTTTGGGTCAGCTCTCACCCAGCTCCATGTTTGGGCCAGCTCTTAGCTCTGAGCACAACGTAGGGCTCATGCAATAGAAGTGATGAGAGTCGAGGCTATTCACCTACCTTTGCCGTGGGCAGAGAACAAAAAGGGTATTTGTACAGTGAAACGGTACTGAATGTTCTACACCGCTGTTTTATTTTGTGTTTACTGAACAGAGGGCACCAAAATAATATAAATGGGAACAGTAACATATGGTTAGCACACTTCTGATTCCATTTAGTCTTTTTCTATTTTTTTTCTATTTGTAAATATTTTTGTGGTTTGTCTGTGTTTTAAAGAAAGGAGGGAAAATTCTCCTGCCTCTCTAGCCTTGTTTGAGGAAGGGGATGGCACTCTGTGGTGGTATTGCAGTAGATGGGTGAATGCTCTGCATTTTGCTTGTCACCTGACAAGCTGGTTTATATTTGGATGAGGAGAGAAAGTGAATGATTCTGAAAGCTGCATTTTCACTGGTGTGGAGGCCAGCCCGTGTGTGCTGAGTTATCAGAATTGGGTTTTAATTGTTTGCTCGTTTTTCCTGTGACTTACTAGGGCTATGGTCCTGCCATGTCAAACACATTCCTTGAAAGCAAGGTGTGTCCAAAGGAGAGGTCTTCAGAAAATTGAGACTTCCTCTGTACCAGCCAGCACAGGAGGTGTATTTTGAGGAGGAGGAAGTTTGGAACATCCCGACCCTTTGGTGTTATCATCTTGGTCTGAGCTGAACACTGCATTAGCTCATGGGTGACAGATACCATCCACATTTGAAATGCCATCCCTAAAGCTGGGGTTTTGTTCTCAGCTGAGTTGTTCTTGAGAGCAGTGAGGAAAGCTCAAGCTGGCAGAGGAGGGAGTGTGACTGACTATTCATTTGTATCTTCTGAGCACCCTGAGCAATTAAAGACAAAAGCCTTTGTTCCCTGGTGACTTCATTCTTAAGAAGCCTTTTTAATTTTAGTCTTTATTTTCAGGAAGAAATAATATGGATTTGTCATTGACAAGAAGGCTGCATCTCTCAAATGTCATGTGAAGGATCCACTCCATAATTCATGGGCTGGGGAGTGTGGGTGGCAACAGGAGGGTGCATAATGGATATGAGAAATTTCAGTTCAGTTAAACTATTGGTCTTAAAGGCAGCTTTTCTTGCCTTCATGATACTTTCTTGATTCAGATCGCCACAATTTTTTTTGCTAGCTCATCCAGATAACCAGATATTTTTAGTCTTCTTAAGTAAGAAGTTATTGGTATTGTAGCAGGTTATTGGTTATTTTTGCACATCATTTTCCCCTTTCAGTGTGGATGGGGACTTGCATAGTAGTACCAGAGCAGTGCTGATTATTTTCTCTTATTTCTGCCACTGCTGCTGTAAGCCATGCATTTGTGTGTGTGGAAGTGCTGCTGTTTCTGACCCTGCTCTTTGCATGATTCTGGGAGTTCTGCCTGTTGTGTGATAAGAGGTGTATTGCTGTTGGTGAAGGTAGGACTGGAACAAGAGCAAACCTGAGGCTGCTGGGGGTCTGAATGAAGATGTGGACTATTGGTTTCCTAGTTGCTGGGAGACTCTGGTGGACTCAGCTCCTCAAAGGGGATTGCTGGGTCTGCCAGATCTCCCCAGGCACGAGGGGTCACCTCCTCAGGGCTGGCCACTGCCTCCAGCTTTGTCTGTGCTCCTGTCCCAGGCAGAGCAGATCAGCTGGCTGGCTCAGGCCGAAGGGAATTAAGGAGCACTCCTCTGATTCCCTTCTCACAGTCAAGCTGAAGGTGTTATGAGCTGACGGAGCTGTGTTAATAAGTGAGCAGCAGCAGCAGTGAAGTTATCGTGGTGATCACACAGCAAAGCCAGCCTGCAGCAGTGGAGGTGCAGCTTTATCTCAGCATTTCTTCTTCAAGGGCTTCATTTCTTGTAATGTGTGTTTGTGTGCAGCTGCAGGAGCTCCTCTGTGCTGCCTGTGCTCAAAGCCCATCAGTCGGGGAGGTGTGTGGGGCACAGCAAGACCTGATCTGGGGCTCAGCTGTGCCTCAAGAGCCTGTGAGGGAGGCAGGAGTGAGCAGATACATTAGTTGTGGAGTAATCTGTTTGCAGTGGAGCTTCCTAGTACAGCTGACAGAAGCTGTGACATTTAAGAATAAATAAACTTTACAAAGCATGGACTCAGCGATACGGAGCTTGTGGCGGAGCCGTGTCCGTGTGTACGTCTGCAGGAAGTGAGTCACGTTCTTACTAAATCGGCATTGCAAGCATTTGTGACTTTTATGACAATTCCCATTTTGGGGCTAAATCAGATCTCTTCCTTTCTCCAGGCTCTTCTCAGGCCTCAGGAATGTCTTCTGAGCCCACCTCATCCTCCTCGCAGCAGTCCCCCGCCTCTCCCCCATCACCCAGCTCCCTGCACCTGCCGGAGAGCCGCCGTCCCCGGGAGCGCTCTCCGTCGCCCATGCGGGGGTACCTGATCCCCAGCCCGCTGCCCACACGCCGCACCAGGACCTTCTCCGCGTGAGTACCGCCGTCCTGCCCTCCAGACACGGCACAGGGCTGGGCTGGGGGGCTGCTCGCAGCTGAGGATGCTCTGCTGTGGTGCTCTTCTCCAGTAAGTTCTGGGGCCTTTAGACCTTTAGTCCAAATGCCCCATAGTTTTCAGTGTTCTGTTTTAGTAAAGGGTGTTCAGAGTCTCTCGGCCCTTTTAAGACAAGAGTTTTACAGGGAGGGGATAATACACCAAGATTTTTCAAAACGCAGTTCCTTGTCTGAAGCTTTGCTTCACTTCAGACATTGGCTTGTGGCTTCCAGGACCAGTTCCTGTTGGTGTTTCCTTCTCATATCCTTTTTTTTTTTGGCATGGTCTCTCTTCTCACTGCCCCTGAAGCACTGGACCAAACCTCACTGGGACCTCACTTTTAGGGTTTTTACTCCTGACACCTGTGCTAACATCATCAAGGTTACATTTTAGGGATACTCCATCACTTTGCAGAGGAAAGTGTTTCCTTGTTTCCTTTCCTTATTCAGCTTTCATATCTTCATCTTAAGATTGCTCAAATATACCTGTTAAAGAATATGCTGGTTATCAGGATCTGACACCTGATCTCTTTCTGTAAAGTTTTTTTTTCTGTAAGGTTTTCCATGAAACAAGGTAACATTTGTTGCTTTTTTTTAGTTATTTGAGGTAGTGGTCTTTCAGCAGAGCTGGCTTTCCCTGAGCTGTCCTGGGGTCCCGTGGTGCTATGCAGGCTCCTGTGAGCCCTGTCCAAAGGGAACTTCTCCCCAGTGCAGCAGCTGAGGATGGGGTGGCCAGGTTTGACCATTGCAAAGGATTCCCAGTGCCTGTGAGGGGCCTCCCAGTGAGGGGCTGACCTGAAGAAGGCAATGTGGGCTTCTTTGTTCATCTCAGAGCCTTTGAATCGGGGTACAATGTGATGCTTCTGCCACAGCCTTTTATTTCTGTCTGAGGAGGGTCTGGCAGTGCTGAATGAATGCTGTGGCAGTAAGAGCTCAGCCCCACAGCCAGCCTGTTTAGGGCCACTTACTCTGATTGGTGTGCTTTTCCCTTTGTGCTTCTTGCAGTGTTATCCAGCTCTTTTCTTCCAGAGTTATCCATGAGGATTTAAATAATAACAGTCTCACTGATGCTTCATATTATTACTTCTGAATTCAAAATGAGGCAAAAATAAGAGGAGCAGAAGAAAAGTCTTCTTCCAAAAGCCTTCAAATGCCCTGAACATCCTGATGGAAGTAGAGTGCTAAAAGGAACATAATTGACTTAATAATTGGGGTTGCCCTTGAAAAGCAAGTCCAAGCTAGCTTGCTTCAGTGCTGTGTTAATAATGAACTCTTTGTAAATCTTCTCAGCTGTTAATCTTAGTCTGGTTCTTACAAAAAAGAAAGAATTTGTTATTTGGCTTCCACAGTTCTTTAATCATTAATTAGTGTAGGAATCTTGCTGTATTTGTTTGCCCTGAAAACCAAAATAGCTCTGATTTTTTTTTTTTGTGTGTGTCCTCTTTAAACCAGAGGAGCTCCAGGTAAGCAGTTGAATGAAGAGATGAATGAGACAGGCAGAATGGTTTATTATTCAGTGGGATTATTTAATTTTGGTCCACTGGAAGTGGAGGGCCTCATCCCCCACAGTGCCTTATCTCTTTGAAAGATGCAACTGAACTTTAATATATTGTTTAGGACAGTGAGTGCTTTTCTGTGTAACAAACACTTGTGGAGCCAGGTGTATTGACAGCTTTATAGAACTGGAAATGTAGTGATTTAATGGAGGTTTATTTCTTTAGCACTTTCAGCTGCATTTCTTAATTGTTAGTTTGATTTAAGGAACAAAGCTGCTACCACTTTTTTTTTAATAACAATTTTATTTAGACTTCAGTAAAATTTAAACCTTTGGGACAGTGATATCCACGTTGCTGTGATGCATGTAACCAAATGGCTGCACAGTCATTGTGTTGGAAGAATTGCACCAAAATCCTCTTCTAACATGGAACCTACTGGATAATCCTGGCATGAAGGAGGTTCTGATCTAGCAATGCTCAGAGTAAATCACATAATACATCTAAACCAGTTGGTTTTCATTAATGGAATGCTTGAGTGAGTTTGAATCCCTGGAAGTTGCACTCTGGGTATTTGGTAGAGAAAGGGATTTAACCACACAGTTTTCCAAAAGGACTAGTCATTTTTTTGGGTGGCAGCAAGTCACCCTAAAGGTGGCTCTGCAAATGTGTCTGATTTTAAAGTGCAGGTCCCATGGCAGTGGAGGAGGAGTTCAGACATGAGTCTCGCTGTTACGTGCTACAGCTGGGCTTCACCCTTCTGTGAAATCTGTGGAAGCACAACACTTAGGTGCACACTGGTACTCCCAAACTTATCAAAGGCACAAGATCCTTACCTTCAGGTATCTGTAGGAAAATTTGGCACAGTGATGGAGCAGTTGAGTTCTGGGTGGCAGCTGATGCATGACAGTGCTAGCAAACATCGTCTGTGTGTCCCTGCCACAGGCTCAGGCAAAAGAAGAGCGGTGTGTGTGAGTGAGCGCAGAGCAGCGAGCAGAGCAGCGTGCTCGCTGCCGGGGAGGGCTTGGCCTGTGTGCTCTGCTGGCCACGGGAGCATCTTCAGCTCTGACCTGCCCCTTGTGCTTCCTCCTGCAGCACGGTGAGAGCATCCGAGGGACCCATCTACAAAGGGGTCTGCAAGTGCTTCTGCCGCTCCAAAGGGCACGGCTTCATCACCCCCGCCGACGGAGGGCCCGACATCTTCGTGCACATCTCGGAGTGAGTCGTGTGTGTGGCCAGGGAGGGCTGGAGCTCTGCTTCACCTTCATTACCAAACCCTTCTGATGTTTCAGACACAAGACTGGTTCAGAATCTGTCACCCTTACCCCAGCAAAGAGGGGTTATGCAGATGTTACTGGCAGCAATAGATTATGCAGTTCTTTTCCTGTAGTTTTATAAATCCGTTAAGTTAAAAACTAGAAGATGATCCTTAAATCTCTTAGAATAGGCTATGAGTTTTGCCCAGACCCAGAAACTTGCTTTGCTTCACCTGAATCAAATATTCCATGCAGTGTCTAGTTTTAATGTGAAGATTTATAACACTGAAAATTCATTACTTTTGCTTTGCACTGCTTGTACCATTATTAAACTAAAGGTTAATTGCCTTTACTGTTGAGAAAAGTCACACTTTATTACTTCCTTGAATTTATCTAGCTTAGGTTGTGAGCAGTTTACAGCTAAAGCTTTCTCTGTTAAAGGGTTCATTAGTACCTCAGCCCTTTTTGTCCTGAACACAGAGAACCACCCCCTCTGAATTTACCTTTTGATAAATTAAGCAGATAAAACTTTTTAAGTCCCTTGCTGAGAATTTTTCTCCAGTCTAAGCCAGTCTCTGCAGCATACTTAGAAAAGAGACTGAAGAATTTCAGTATAATTTTAAGACTATACACTGTACACACACTTTCAGTGTAAGGAGACAAAATCTCCTCCAGTTCTGCTGTTTCTCTTTCTGTACATCCCATAATCGCATTAGCCCTTTATCCCCAGTCTCTGCAGAGTTGCTTACCTGCTGTGACCTCAGTTTGGTGCAGTCCCAGGTCCAGCCTGGCATTCCCAGCTGTGTTTGCATTCCTGATTCCTGGATGTGGTTGACTCCTGGTTTGGTTGCAGAGCAGCACATCCCACTGGGACAGGAATCCCCAGCACACCCCGTGCCTGCTCTGCCCTCAGTGTTCATGGCTTGGCTAATCTGCAAGGTTTAATGGGCAATTTTAGTATTTGCTCCTAGTTTCAGGTGTTGACCAGTGTTGGGGCTGTCGGTCTCTGAGCGTGTGTGTTAAGGCTGCTCGATGTTTATTCTCCTGTAACTTCTTCTAGATCTATCACCAGTTTTATTTCACCTATTGTTCACAGTATTGAAACTGTACAATCCTTATTTGTTCAGAGTAGTTATCCAGTGGTAAGTCAACAAAAGCCTTACCAAACCTACTCACATTGCCCCAGCTGTCTTTCCTGGTTGGGTGTGCAGCACGTGTCCTTGGAGAAGGAGCACTTGGTTTTCCTCCAGGTTTCTGGAATGTTACTGCACTGTGGGCATTGATAACCCAAAGCTTTCTAGGGCTCATGGGTGCAAAAAGGCTCAGTGGTCTGACTTGTGTTCAACCCAAGGAAGTGTCATTTAATATCTCCTTTCTCTTTTGTCTAATGCAAATGCACTATTTCTCCTCATTTCCTGAATAACTTAAAAATAGCATTTCCTATGTCACAATTAAAAAAACTTAACTGTGAACATCTAGTCTGACCTCTACAGTTACTGATCAGCAGGGGTTTAGTTACAGCAGCCTTCTCACAGAAAAATGAATTTTCAGCCTTCTAATGAATTCCTTTTAAAGAACTGTCTATTTTCAGTCTTGTTTTTTTTTTTTTCCCCTGTACATTTTCTCTTCCAATTAGTTCAGTAAAATTTTCTTCAGTTATATGAAATTAATATTTTTAAAAACCTGGAGATTACTTTTTGATTGGGATTGCTGTTTTGTTTGTCTGCACAAAACGTGAACTGCTGTTTCAGGTTCCTATCCTATGGCCCAGCACATCTTTCTGTCTTGGCCCAAACCCAGGACTTGATTCTGGGTGCGCAAGGTGTTCCTGCCCTCAGTTCCCCTCCAGTCAGTAGAAACTCCAGTGATGTTTTTCTGTTCTGTTTAAGGCTCCCATATGTCTCCTGTGCTGCAGTCCCGAATGACACGACAGAAATAGCCGTGTGTGCTGTGATTTGTGCGCTCTGTGCGAGGCCCCAGTGACAGGAGTCCCTCTCGTGGGCGGTGCTGTTGGTGTATTGATCCCATCTGCTCTCAGGCTGCTGTGACTGGGAGCCATCGATAAGCTGCATTTGAGTAACCGTGCCCCCAGTGTGTGTGCTGCCCTCCCCTTCCCACCACCCACTGCCTCCATCCTAAAGCACCCCTGAACGAGTCACCAAAGGCTGGAGAGCTTTATGGCCAGCCACCCTTCCTGAGGTGTTTTCAGCGTGTTTGTTCTGCTGATGCAGGAGGTTCTCTGCTCCGCCAGCCTCACCCACCCTTGTGTGGGGAAGCTGGAGCAGGTGAGGGCTGAGAGGGGCAGAGCTGCTCTGTGGGCAGGGGGATCCCTTCAGCCTGAGCCAGCTCCCAGCCCAGTGCCCACCCACGGGACAGCCCAGCTCCTGCTCTCAGCCAGGTCATTTCAGTCCAGAGCTGCCAGCAGGAGAGGCTCCATGTGCTGTGCACAGTGCTCTGCCAGCCCTGCAGCACAGCAGCAGGGGGAGGCTGGAGGGGATCTCCTGTGCCCTGCACTGCTGGGAGGCACCTGTGCCTTTCTGGCAGAGGCTTTGCCCAACCCAGCTTGGTGATTCCTGAGCTGAGGGTCCACTGTCTCCCTGGGCAATCTCTTCCTGCCACCAACAGGCCTGGTTCTGAGCCCTTCTAACTGAGCTGGCTTTCAGTATGGACCTTCACTGCTCCTCCCTTCTCCACAGCACGCAAACCATGCCCTTCTGCCTGTAGAAACTGTGTTCAAAGACTCTTTTCCTTCTTTCAGAAACATCTTAGCAAGGTTAGGTCATTTTAGACCTAATTGACCAAAGTGTTCTGTGGATTTACAGCCTCTCTAGGTCAATTCTGCTCTCTTGAAGTCAACAGCAGTTTTTCTATTGTACCAAGAATGGGCCACTGTTTTAAATGTTTCACATGTAGGTACTGTCTTAGAGCTTCAGTTCAAAAATAGCTGATGTTTCTGCCTCAACCTGTTAGTGAAAAGTGCTATTATTGAAGTACCGAAGGTTTCAGCACATTGTGTTCTTTAATTATTTGGAGTATATACGAGTTGTTGGAAACAGCTTTTAGTGCTGGAGGTTGATGGTATCACTGTCTTAATTCTGATGCAAGGCAACAGTGGAAGGACAAATTAGTAATGCCTTTCATTTCAGTTTATTTCACAGTGAATTTGATAGATTGTTCTTTATTAACTGGAATTGCTTTTTGTGGCAGTGTTCTGTAACCAGGCCTGTGGCTCAGGGGACTCCAGTGACCCTGGTTTGCACACTGTGAATTTTGTGTTTATCAAGTGATTCTTTCCACCTATTTATTCAGTTAAATCTGGATGTGAGAGAGGTCTTAGTCTGTTCACTCTCTCAGTGTGGTATAGGCATCTACTCGGGAAGTGAAAGCAGATTGTTTCTCCTGAATTCCTCCCAAAAGCTGGGATTTCAGGAACTTGGATAAAATGGTTATGCCAGTTTGGATTTGCCAAGATAGACTGTTCCTCTGTGTTCATCACTAAGCTGTGATGATTAGTGAAGGTTTTAAGCACTGGAACCAGCTGCCTGTCTTTTAGATTAATATGATTTTCAACATAAATATTTAATTTGAAGAATTAAATAGTTTTCTTCCCTAAGCTTTGAGGAGCTGTGAGGTTACAAGTTAGTGAAAACATCTTCCATAAGATGGGATGCCCGTTTCCTGTAAATTTCTTTATTTTTTTGTAAGATACTAACAACACTTAGGATGGCATTTCCTTTCTATAAGTGAGCATTAGCCCAAAGATAAAGTCAAATGTATCATTCAAAACTTCACTTGGTGTCTGCAAAATTTTCTGTGTATCTCTGCATGATTGAGGACATGTAGTCACATTTTGGGAGTGGAACTTGCAACAAAGCTGTTTTATTGTGTTGGACTTGTGAGATATGGGTAGAAATACATGATCACAGAATTGTTAGGGTTGGAAGGAACCTCTAGAGATCATCCAGTCCAACAGCCCTGCCAAGGCAGGGTCACCTACAGCAGGTTAAATAGGAGCACATCCAGGTGGGTTTGGAATGTCTCCAGAGAGGGAGAGTTCACCCCCTCCCTGGGCAGTTCCAGTCACCTTCAACATAAAGAATTTCTTCCCCATGATGAGGTGGAACTTGTTGTGCTTTAGTTCATGGCCATTGCTCCTTGTTCTGTTGCTGGGCACCACTGAAAAGAGTCTGGCACCATCCTCTTGGCATCTACCCTTGAGATAATTAAATCTAATGAGATCCCTTCTCAGTCTTCTCCAAACTAAATGGGCCCAGCTCCTGCAGTTTCTCCTCACAGGAGATGCTGCAGACCCCTCACCATCTTTGTGGCCTCTGCTGGGCCCTCTCTGGTAGCTCTTGGTCGTTCTTGTCCTGAGGATGCAGAGCTGGACCCAGCCCTGCAGATGTGCCTCTGAGGGCTGAGCAGAGGGCAGGTTCACCTCCCTGACCCGCTGGCCACACTCTTCCCGTGCATCCCAGGCTCCCACTGGCCCCCAGGACACACTGCTGCCTCATGGTCACTTGTCACCCAGCAGTAGCCCGAGGTTTTTCTCTGCTCTCCAGGGGTCAGCCCCAGCCCGTTCAGGGTTATCCCTCCCCAGCTGCAGCAGCCTGCACTGGCCCTTGCTGAGGCTCTGGGGGCTGCTCTCTGCCCAGCTCTCCAGCCTGACAGGTCTGCCTGCATGGCAGCACAGCTTTTGGAAGGTGCTTTTTGTCTGCCTGGCTTTGTTTTAATGAGTGGCTCTGAAGGCTGCAGAGATGATTTGTTTTGGTGTTTGATAACACTTGTGTGGAGCCACTTCTCCTTTTTAACCGATTGGGTACAAGTGAGTCCTGCTTCCTTTGCTTACTGCAGACAGTTCTCAACTAGGTATAAATAGTTGTGCTAAGGAAATGTCACGGCTCTTTGGTGTGATGAGGTTTTGTTTTTCTCAGATTCATACTTCACCCCTCTCTAGAACAA